AAATATTTTTTAATGATTTTAAATTCTAATGTATTCTCCTCTATGTTCTTTACAATTACGAAGAAGATTCTTGTGAAAAATATATAATTTTAATATAGTTACAGTCTTTTGAAATCGACATGCCTACTATTTTTTTCTTAAGAAACATGAATTTTCGCTAGTTTTGACAAACCTCATTGACTAAATGCCAAATTTTGACTGAATAAATGTACTTAGCTCAATTAAATTTTATCCAGAGATAGGTTGGAGTGTTATTGAAGATTATTCAAGGTATTTTTCATATTTAGTTATATGATTTTTTAGTTATTTGAAGTTATATAAAACAGATGCCGACTATTGGTACATGCCGGAATTAGGTGCGTCTACCCTACATTTATTCTAGAAAGACAGAGACCGGGTGTAGGAGTTATACGTAACGGATGATATTTAGGAGATAAAATGAACCAAAAAATAGTGGTTTTTGCCCCGATGCCGCTTTTATAACCCACACAGCAATAAACCAATAAATACGGGAAGAAGTAAAGCCAAGAGATATAAAGGTGATTTTTAAATGTATTTAAATTATACTGATTTATACCCGCATCATAGGTGGAGTGTATAAATTTGTCATTCCCTTTGCAAAACCTCGAAATATTCACCGGAGAACCCACAAAGTATATATATATAAATGTTAAAATCACGATAGAGATCGCAATATTGCTAGTACTCCTTGCTAGTACTCCTAGGTGCTAGATCATTTTTTTTGGTGCTAAATGAGTTTAAAAAGTGCTAAATCTAGCACTAAAAGTTCTAAATTGGCAACACTGCATATGCCTTTAACGGCATTCCAATTTCGGTGTGCACCATAAAAAATACAACGATCTACCTAGTTCTTAATGGACCGCATTGACCATTAAGAACTTGGTTTTTAAAGGTTTTTGTCAGTTACGTCCTTTTAACTACAACATAATTGTAGTACAACAAAGTGAATAATAATTATCCCATTTAGACTAAAATTTGTACAGCGTACCAAATTGAGTCCGGAGTGACGTGTGTTAAGTTTGGTTGAAATCGGTTCAGATTTAGACATAGCTTCCACACATATTTTCGTCAGATTTTGTGTAAATGATGCATTAAAGCCCCTATATTTATTTCTATTTGCACGAAATTTAGCATAGCGTACTGAATTGAGTCTAGAGTGATGTGTGTTAAGTTTCGTGAAAATCGGATTTAGACATAGCTCCCACACATACTTTCGTCAGATTTTGTGTTAATGGTGCATTACGCAAAATTTATTTGTTTCGATTTGCACGAAATTTTTCCTGAAAATCGGTTCAGATTTCGATATAGCTCCTATATACAGTTTCGACCGATTTTATGTAAATGTTGCACTAAATACATTAAATATTTCTCCGATAGCGAAAAAACTATGCACAGGGTACTTTTCCACCCAGTGGGACACAAAAATACCGAGCTGATTAGTTAAAAAAATGAAGAAAACCCTTAAAATACCGAATTTTGGGGTACCGCTATATGGGAGCTACCATAAAAAATTGGCCGATATATCTCATTTTCAACATCAAACATCCCAGAAGTAACATTAATATATGTTCAGAATTTCTATCTTCGATAATTCGAGCTTTAGTTTTTTACAGGAGTGTACTTACTTACGTCTGATTGCATTAATAAAAATATACTATTGTAGTTACGTCCGTTTGAATTTCTTTAATTAGATCGCAGTTTTTGACGTTAGATGTCTAAATTTTTGTGTGAACATGTAGTTTGATTAGACGAACAATAATCAAACAAAAAGTCAATTTCGGATTTTTCTGTAGTTACGTCCGTTTGCATTTAGGATGACGAAATGTTTTGTTTTTTTATTTTATTTTCAAAACATTACCACATTACACAACTTGAGTTACTGCTTTGACAAAATATTGCCCAGTTTGGGAATATAGCTCCGCAAAAACTTAGAGCTAAATGGTAGTTGTGTAGGGTTTCATTTCATTCTAACTTCTATCATTTGGAAGACACACCATATATGTCATGTTCCAATTTTGAAATTAGGAAATAACATGCACCGGTATAAGAAAGTGTGTAAAAAATAAATCTGAAGTGTGTAAAAAATACTTTACCAATATTACAGTTCGCACATTTCATTGACATTTGTTTAGTATCTACCGGCCAATGCGCAGAGCATAGCATGCCGTACACCCCGCTCATTTGAATTTCGGTCCGCTAAGACTAAACAAGAATTTATCAAGTTCAATGTCACGACTGATTGTGGCCAGCCAGCAAGAAGCAGCGCTTGGAGGCATTCGTCTATGGCCGAACAGTTATAACAGTAAAATTATCATCAAAACTTGACAGGACAGGAAATAAAGCAAAGTGGCTAAAAGAATACAGAAATCGAGAGTGAATCGTTATGTTTCAGTTCCGCGGTTGTTGGTAATAATACACACATAATTGCGAACCACAATGGATGATGACCGATAATGAAAACAAAACAAAACAAAACGAAAACAAATACAAACACCGACGTGGTGCGGCAGTGTGTGCGTCGCAGTAAATGATGAGCCCAATGTAGGTGATAATGAGCATCAAAAGTGTAGTGGAACGAACAATAGTACAGACACAAGAACCGCTAAATTTGACACACGTTCGACAACAACAACTTCCATTCTCGGTCGTTCTTATTTCTCTGTTCGTGTATTGGACCCAACGATTATTCCAAGGTACTTGACATCTATTGGTCATTGGCAATCGGCGTTTCTTGTTTGGTATCGAGTGCAGAGTCTCAGCTGCATTATTGTATTTGCGAAGAAGACGTTTGGCATGACACACACACACACGCTGTACTCAAAGAGGGGAGTATACAAGTGTCCAAACTATTGTCAAAGAGCAGACACACTGGTCGCTAGCACCCATCCACCCATACAATAAACTCACAGACAGTCATTAACACACACTAGCACATAGTGTTACCCAGCTGGGTGGTAGGGCACCAACAGTTTAGCCAAGTAATGTTAGCTGGTAGCACAGCATCGATTGTATACTTAGTGCCGTACACATTCAGTCAGTAGATCAGTTGGTGAATGGGAACCGTGGGAAGCGGATGTCAAAGGTTTCGAGTGTAGTGAACAAAATAGTAAAGCGAAAATAAAACGTTCTCCTTGTCCGAAGATAGAGCCTCCAACTTGTTGTGCGTACGAACGTGAACGGATATAAACAAGTTGGATTCATACAATACAGACGAACAAATAAAAAAGGTGAGCCGTAGCCCCAAAAGGACGAAATTCGTATAATCTTAATCAAGTAAATGTGTTTGTGTGTGTGTTTGATTTGTTTCGATGCATTGGCCGCATAGTATGTCCAAGGTGGATCGCGAATGTTTCAATTCGCTCAGTCATCAAAACGATTAAAGCTGTGAATAAAATCGAAACAACAATAAAACAGAACATTTTCCGAGTCATTCTATTGCCATTCCACTAACCTATTGTGCGAACTATTTGGTGAATATGTACATGCGTCGATATGTGTGCATATCCACCTATGTGTGAAGTATCGGTGCGACACAAATCGAATACAAGAATGAAACATCTTCAATGCATGAATAAATGAAACGAAGGATTCTGTGCAAATCGGTTTCGGAAATGATTCTCTGTATCACCTCGGTTTGAAACCATATGTCTGTCCATTTCTAATGTATTATCCATGAACGGCATACAAATGTGCAAAATACCGTCAGTTCAATTTCAAAACGTCATATATTTCATTAATTTCATCATATACAGTTATTTTGTAGAATATATAATATTCATAACTACTTCTGAACGCCTAGCCATAGTATTTTTCAAATCCCGAAAACAATTTAACTAATAATATATTGCGGAAGCAAGAATCATTCTGAGATGAAACTATACGTTATTGTAAATCAATAATCGAAAAGTGTGTAGAAAGTTGTTCAAAAAAGCTGAATTTTTTCGTGACGGAATGACAACCTGCGCATGCTTTCCATGTCATTGTGGAGTGCAACGACTAGCTGCCAAAACAAATTAAAATTCTTACTTTCCTGAGCGTACACATGTGCTTGTATATATGTATATACGGAACTATCGCAACGTGTAACGTGCTGTACAGGCATAACCACAAGTACGGCCCAATTTACTGCGATTGCTTAACCTCTTCAAATCTCTGCAATGTCATGTCGGTCTACGCAAAGTGGTTTATGTTTAATTTGATGAGATCCATTCATCATCACACATTTCGTCGTCATACTCATGTGGCATGGGATGTTGTACCAGACACCCCGACCTGAATGGAGCCTCTGTTCTCTTTCGTCTTCTTTTCCATGGCCTCATTTGACAATTGGCGAATACTTTTTTGGAAGTAGTTGTCTTCACGACCGTCGTCTGTCACATAGTGGTGATATAAATGTACTATTTTAATACACACACTCACAAGCTCACACAGACGTTTGCGTATGTACTTCGTATTAATCTTCACAATAATAAATTACGGTTACATTACAATTATCAAAACAAAGCAATATCATAACGTTGTTTTGTTATTTTCTGTCGGTTTCAATAGTCTAGTTTCCATTAATTAAAACATACAAGTGGCCAAAAGACATTTTCAAGACAGGGGATTGGATTTTTTGGCGCTGGATATTGGCTAAATTCATTTCAACATTCATCATATTTCCAAATTATAGCGAAATACTTCGTTTCTGTCTGTGATAATTTTATCTTCTGTATTAAAGTGTTGGACATTTCGTAATTTTCATATGTATATTTTATGTTACCGCATATAAGGACAGCTGTAAATGCTGTGCTGATGTAATAGCCAAATCGATTAATTCAGGACGTAGAACACACATTCGTTATTCATTTATATACGTAGCTCAGCACCAGAGATACTGACATTAATAACCGTACCTATATAATGTTCCGTTTCAGATTTGATTTCGCTTGGGATAGACTATAATTGTTTAGACGCAGAAACCAAAGACTCAAATATTCAACCACAACAATGGAAACCATGAACGCCACCAAGACAGACTACTGGAACTTTCTATTTATCGAATTAGCCGGTGAGTACAGTAGGGAACAACATTCACCTTTGGAATCCGTTAAATCCATCATGTATTCTGATTTTGTTTATTTTTTGTTTGGATCCACAGATGAACGAACTAATGACTGGTTTTTGGTGAAATCACCAGTACCACTGTTTACATTGATTGGCTTATATTTATACTTTGTATTGTCATGGGGCCCCAAATACATGAAAGACCGCAAGCCATTCCGATTGGAGAAAACTCTGATGGTTTATAACTTCTTCCAAGTGGCCCTAAGTGTGTGGATGGTCTACGACGTAAGTACCAAGGAACTGTCCTATACCGAAAGAAGGGCCCAGGCAGGTTTAACTAAGGTAATATATTTATTGTTATTGGTTTTAGGGTGTGATGATTTGGAAGGATTATAACTGGAGATGTCAACCCGTCAACCGTTCCAGAACTCCCATGGCGTACCGGGTATATATCTACCTTCAATTGTTTTATCCGCGATTGGTTAATTGTATTTCTTGACTTTCAGGAAGCCCGAGGTGTTTACGTGTACTTCATCGCCAAAATTACAGAGCTGCTGGACACCATATTCTTCGTGCTACGCAAGAACGAACGCCAGGTGACATTCTTGCATGTATACCACCACTCTGTGATGCCATTAATTTCTTGGGGTGCTACCAAATACTTCCCTGGTGGTCATGGCACCTTTGTCGGCTGCATTAATTCCTTCGTACACATAATTATGTACACCTACTACTTCCTGTCGGCCTTTGGTCCTCAAATGCAAAAATATTTGTGGTGGAAGAAATACATCACCAACTTGCAAATGGTAATGTCGCCACCGATGGCATTCCAGTTGAACGAGATATTAATCCACGTTTTCATTATTTCATTTCAGATCCAATTCTGCATTATTTTCATCCACCAAACTCAGCTATTGTACACCGAATGCAATTACCCTCGCTGGTCCGTCTGCTTCACATTGCCGAATGCGGTCTTCTTCTTCTTCCTCTTCAAAGACTTCTACCAAAAGTCATATCAAAAGAAAACTGCTGCAGCAGCTGAACTCAAGCGTAAGGCCGCTGAACAGGCTGCTGCCAACAACAACAACAACAACATCAGCGGTTTCGTTCCAGCCGAGCCGAAGAAGGTCCTCTAAGTTGGCGACGAGGCCGGTACGAATAAAACGTCGTACACATTACGCCAGTCAAAACCTGTATTTACCTCAAAGATTGCACCTAACGCTAGAGAATATTTCTCAACCTTGCACACCACTCGCCATTGTTTCTACTTCGGTTAACGTCCAAATGACAGCAGCCGCTGCCTGTGCGTTCGTTCAGAGCCTTTTGCTGTGTTAAATATTCCATTGTATCTTTCGGTATTTTAATATTAAATTGTAGACCTCTCACAAGGGAGCAGTTGTTACCGTAGTCTTAAGTCATTGTCAGTGTAAATATCCCCTAGGGTTCTCGAGTAGCATTAAATGTTAATAATCATAAGTTTGAAGTACCGGTATTTAGATGATAAGTTTATGTGTCCTAACTTTGTTTTCGAAAATAAAGATACCACACTTTTTTGTATAAAACTAGCATCTGTTTACACGCTTACTTGGGGTCCTATGAAAAACGATTGTAACCGTGGGAGATATTAAATCGTATAACAAAATTCACCAACTACTACAGTCGAAATCGGATAAGCGTACGCCGGTTTATGGAAAAAAATTGGTTAATTTAAACAACAAATTATAAACTAGTATTTCGGATGAATTTTAAAAAACCTTTACTTCGCCTAAAAAAGAAGTCGGTTAATAGAAAATCCGTATAAGAGATACACTTTTTTTGCTAAAACACAAATATATATGAAAAGAGCGCCGTTTTAAAAAAAAAATAACATTTTGTAAAAGTAACGAAATTCATTAAATTGTTTTAAGTCCAAACCTAAAATAGTTGCACATTTTTCCAATCATAGAAACAAAATGTCGACGAAAAAAGTAAGTTCTTACTCAATTGATTTCATTATTAATTGAAAACTTCATTTAAGGGGACCCCCCATTCTCGGTGTCAAAAATGTTTTTGATATAATTATAATCTACACTAATTAATAAATGTCCCTACAAAATTTCAAGTTAAAATCTCAAGAACTCTTGAAGATATAGCCGATCGTGTCAGCATCAAGTGACGGCTGAAGGGCTTCTCAAACTTTAAAGACGTTTTTCTCTAAACATTTTCTTGCGAATGGCGGGCACGATAACTCAAAATGTTTACACGCTTTTCTGTGAGTTGAAGATCTTCCTTATTTCTTAACTTGGTTTTGGTAAAAAATCGGCGATTTTCCAAAAATATCTTTTCAAAGGTTCACCATTTCGTTAATTTTAGAGCGAAGTCAATAATCCTAGTTCATACGAGAGCCAGACATGTACTCTCTCTAACACCGTTCTTCTACATCAGTGGAGTATGTAGCTTTATCTGTTATAAATAAAATGGTAAACGCCACAAAAGTTGGGAACTTGTCCTTAAAGTACTAACAAGTGCTAAATATTCTGTACTTTAGAACGGATAAGAAGGAACCTGTTATTAAATACTAATTGGGAACTATGGCAGTAAACATTTCTATATAAATATTTTCCAGAAATATGTCCTAAAAGTACAACACATTAAATACAGCGGTATGGGTGGAGATAGAATTCTGAAACGGAATTTTCGGATTCTTTAATTACAAAAAAACAACAACAAAACAGTAAAAAATTTCTAAATTATTTTTCTTACAATTTACCAATCGCCATGCGTAACATTTATGATATTTATTTTTTTATTTTATTTGGTATTTATGGTATATGGTATTTATTTATTTATATTTATTTTTATCAATTTCTCAAATGAGACTACCCTGTATAGTTATGCCATTAACACACATCATTTTCGTAAACAATAGTTTTTCCAAGATTTGCATATTTTAACAAATTGATTTTTGAATAGGAAATCCGTTTCGACGGTTTTTATTGGAATTCAAATCAAAGCAACATAGTTTGACAAAATAGGTAGATATCACCTGGGAAATTACAAAAATCTTTTAAATTCCTTGAAACTGAGGTTTGCAAGCTTATAACTCGCGAAATATCAACATATTGCATATAATTTAAATTCATTTCTATAAAATGAAGTATTCTTGTCAAAATCTTAGAATATTGGTAATAAATAACAAGTCGCGTAGAAGCAGTGATTGTGGTAATGTAAAAAAATGGGTGAAAATGTGTTGAAGCCAACACGTTTTTTTGTGTTCTTTCCTGATTTGTGGCTAATCTACACAACGCACGCACATGTGATCAGTGACTAAGTGGAAGAATACCCCACGGACAATATGGTTGTAATGTATGATTTTTTGATACACCCATACACCCAAAAACGGATGCTGACATTTTGAAGCCGGATTTTGGGCGTTTTTTAATTTTTCTTATAATCAGGACGCGCATCCATATAATGGACTAAACTTATTATAGGATTGTAGAACTCGTGATTTTGCTTCATTTAGTGTATATCTCATGAATGTGCTCACCGTAGCTTATTTGCAATTGGGTTCCAAAGATGCAAATTTGGTGCGTACATTTTTATAAAAAACCCTGTTTTTTTGAGTCTAAATTTAAGAATTTCCATTCAAATGCCGTGGAACTCCGCATGATTTTAGTTTTTTTACGTGCCGAATCTAATGAGCCCAGCCAATTCTGCCCATAAAAGGGCCGATATAGGTACCTTGAATGTAGGAAAAACTGCAAAGTTTGACAAATTCGCGTATATAATCGCGTTATTGTTCGAATTCATTCATTACATTCATTCATGTTTGTGTTATCATATTCGCGAATCTGCGTGAAAATAGGTCAAAAATGCATCGATTCGCGAATAATATGCGTGTTTTATCCAGCATTGATTGTGGCGGCACATCCGCGGTTCTCAACCAATTCTTTTACAATGGGTGTACTTTTGTGTATTTTTATATGAGATTACTGAAATCTGATGCTAGTAAAAATCTTATGCACGTTGCGTAATTTTTAGCCATTTTTAGGGTTTTGCGGTTTATACGAATACCGTATGCGCATCAACTGATTTCAACGAATACGCGAACTGAATTCTTTTTAATGTTGAACATTTTCATATACTGTAACTGCAATATATTTGGTCATTTTTAAATTCAAAACTCTTAACAGAGGAGTCTACCGATATTTAACAATCATTTAAAAGAATTTCAAGAAGAAAGTGTCGCATATTTTAGAAGATTAAGGCAAAACCGTATTCCCTTAACAATACTAAAAAGTCAAAAATTAAAAAAACAAAAAACAATTTTTAAGTGATTATTTATACTCTTTCGAGTCGAGCTTAATGATCTAAGTTTTGCAATGAAAAGGAAAGCCAGGAGAAGAACGTACCCACCATTATGCGACGCACCACTTAGCGTTCTGAACCATCAACACACTTCCAAAACGGTTGAGCAAAAACATGTGTATACCATGGAAGCAATTGCAGTTGTGTGGATTAACTGTTTTTGTAAAATTCGAATAAAGCCAATTCGAACGAATTACTACCAAACCTTTATTTATATAAAAAATGTTTTTTGATTCTAAACAATGACAAATGACATATTTTTCAAAAACAAGGAGTTTGGTCGTAAGTCACTCGAATTCCATCGCTACAACAAAAATCTACTTTGAAAATGAACATTCCCTAATGAAGACAATTGTCGAACTTTGACAAATTTATTCGCATATGCAATTTAATTCGCATATGCAAGTTTCGCATCAGGGCGGAATAAATACAAGTTATCAACATACGACCTTTGTAAAGCCTCTTAGCCTAATATGCCTGATGAGCCGCTTAACCAACGGGGAAAGGCGTCGCATAATGGTGGGTACGTAGGTTCTTCTCCTGGCTTTCATTTTCATTGCAAAACTTATATCATTAATCACTTTCAAATGATCACTGCCCTTACAAGGCAAAATTCAAATAACAAAAATTGTGTGGCAATTCAAAAATTAATTTGCTCGCAAAAAATTTTTTCAAAAATTTTTTTATGGAATTTTAAAAGAATTTTGTAATTTCCCATATCGTTAGCTAAAATGCAAAAAGGAGTAACTAACAAAAATTGAAAATTGACTTTTCGAATGAATATTGTGAATGTCAATAAACTACATGTGTTGACAAAGTTTTACACGTCTGCGGTCAAAAAAGGAGCTTCTATTAACAAAAAACAAAAAGACGTAACTACAAGTGGGTTTATAATAATAATAATATAATAATTGAAAAACAATTTTGTTTTATTTAGGTATACATCTGTCAGTGTATTAAAAGTGAACTTAGAAAAATCTTCATTTGACATGTTTAGAGTTTTCATTCAAAACAGTTTTTTGCTTCTCCTACACAATTAAGCTTTTGTTAGTTACACTTTTTTGCATTTTAGCTAACGATATATCTGTTTTCCACAATATTTGATAAATTTTATTGCATTTGTACATAATTATCTGTAAAATAGAAATCAAGTATTACATACTTTCGACAGCCAACTATGATTTTTTATTCGAAAATATAAATATTTTGACATAATATGTAGATATCAGCCAGCCTTACTATATTTAACAAAAATAATAATACGTTCTGTTATAGCTGAATTTTGTTTAACTTATTTGGGGAAAACGTCGAAAGAGATAGTCAAATTTTAGATAGCGCTGATAAGGAAAAATACCAAAAAATAAAGAAAAAAAATTTTTGCTTCTTGCAGTTTCTGAAATAGAGACTTAGATTTTATACATTGCGGTTTTGTTACAAAAATTCAATTCAATGATGACAGAAACAAATATCAGCAACGAATAACGCTATACTGCGAAATTCATTGTCGCGGTATAGCCATTATCATATAAAGCCTATAATCATAAAATAAACGCTCTTCTTTCCTTCATCATTTCCGGAAGTAAAACTTTATACAAAGCCGAATGATGAATAGAAGACGATTAACGAAACCCCTAAACAATGACACTGTCCGCCAGTATTGTGATGTCTTGAAACTGGTTTTCCTACAAGTCTCTTGATAGTTTTAGATTTTGTTAACATTGGAAACTAATAAAGCCCTGTATCGATGTGTAGTGCCTTGAGAATCATTTCAACGATAAAAGTCGGAATATTCGATTTATTAGCAATGTTGGTCACAGTCGCACATTCTTATAATTAAATCGTCAAATATGCATAGTTGTTCGACAATCAGTAATCGATAAAAAAACTAACAGTCCAGATTGGTGGTTTATAATCGCTTTAAAGTTACAATATCATAAAATTTGTCCCATAAACCTTCAAATACCATATGTACATTTAGTTACAGAGGTCAATAATATACGGGATATTCCGGTATATGACCGTCAAATTTGGGGGTTCAGATGGGAATTGCGGTGTTCGAAAATAAACACTATGACACAATACCATAATATACTGTGAAGTACTTCGATAATGTATCATACTAGTACACTAACACTAAAATGCGAGGCACGATACCCAGTTGTTCAATAAATATCAATTGCCTGCTTATGTATAGTTATATAACTAGTTACTATGGTATCACGTTTCTTTATACCCAAAAATGGAACACAAAATATTCTATTGACTTCATTTGTTGATTAAAAACGTTTTCTCTTTCTGTAGTTACTGGTAATGCGAAAAGTAATGAATCGAAAAAAGCAAAACAGAAAAAACAATTGTCATTTTCTTCAGACTTTATAATTTTTTGAATTGTGAAAGCAAATGTTTAATAAAAATGTGTGTTTTATACAAAAATATAAGCAATCAATATTCACGATGTTGAAGATGAAGTGCCGTTTAAATAAAAATGTCAAGAATCTAAAATGCATATGTTGAATCCAAGGTAAGTTCTGGTTTTGCGATACAATAAATACATACGTATTTTTTTTCAACAAAATTATTCTACAGATTTTCAATAGATGCCAATTCAGAATCATCCAACAGATTGGGGGAACAAATAAAAGTTTGAAATACATAGGTAAATATTCTCCAAAAGCTTCTACTTAAGAGACCCATATCTTTAGTTATATTTTTTAAATTTCTATTTCAGATGCTTCAATATTTCGTAGAGGACAGATGCGAACTCTGGTTAATTGCGATAAACTTATTGCATTGTAGGTATATTTGTAAAAATGAAAGTAAGACCAGTGTGCATATCAACATAGAACGTAGCATATTTTTCGGCAGCCTGTTTTATTGACAATGTCTTTTTACTGGATGACAATGTCTCACTTATTACATAACGTATGCGTTGAGAGCCGTTTGATGCCTGTCCAGTTTCAAGCTAAGATGTAATTTGTCCAGCTAAATATAAGTATTTGCCAACAAATTGTACTAATAAATAATTTTATAATAACATGCAAACGGACTATCCGATTTTAACGAAAAGTTGTACAATATTTTTATTTTTACCAAGCCAAGATCAACATTGAAGTTGGGACCCATTGATCCACTCCTACTGGCACCTCACCCACAAAGGGTCAACATTTTTAATATTTATGAATCCAATATCAGACGAATAGAATGTCCGATTAGAACCCAATTTTGCACAACCTATTCTATTAATCAAACATAGATCAAGTTTGAAGATGAGAGTCATCGGTCCACTCCTTTTGGTACCTCCCCCTCAAATGATCGAAAATTTTCTATATATATAAATCCAATACCTGGCGATTCAAATGAACGATTTGAACCAAACTTTGCACAACCTATTATCTTTACCTAGAATAGATCAAGTTTGAAGATGGGACTCATTGATCCACCCCTTCTGGTACCTCCCCACAAATGGTCAAAAATTTCAATATTTATAAATTCAATATCAGACGAATTGAATGTCTGATTTGAACCAAGCTTTTCGCATTTTTTTAACTTAGAAGAAAAGATATACGATTAGAGTAACAGTTAATTTTTCGATTTATTTTATTGGTATATATATTTTTTTTAACTGAAAGACTTACATACATATACATAGGTATACCCATGTAACAGCCAGGTGCTACATGCTTACATACATTGTATGTGTGTACATGTGTACTACAAGGATTTCGTTTCATGATTTAAGAATGGCATTTCCGTTTCTTCTTTTTACCTATGGACCACTAATGACACAATGCGTGATGTGTGCCTCCTATTCGTACAAATTACAATATATTTACAAACTAAAATAAAATAAAAAACAATCGAACACGAATTCATCTAATTCACTTGCAGAATACATCCCGACCACGACCATGACTCAGAACAAGGACCGGCATGACTAACCGATACAAAGGCCTAACTGAAAGAAGAAACGAAAAATGCCCCGTCATATTGGTTTTGAAATCAGACCTACTTACGAAGTAACTAAACAACAAAATACTAAAAGTAGAAAAATGGAAATAAAGCAAATCGACGACACATATTTGTATGATGGCTTAAAACTAGTTAAACTTAAGTGTACTATGATAAAAACCCCCCGGAACCTTGCACTCGATCTACTCAGCTTTGGTAGATTTCATTGTGTTGTTGTTACTGTCGATTAGTCGTTTCATCTGGTCGCCCTGCGACAAAAACGCCTTGGATGGTACACAGCCTAAGCCATTGGCAGCGCGGAGTGCAGCATTGGTGGCTCCACCATCCTTGGTCTTGTAGGTACGTTTGTAGAAGTTGCCGAATAGGTAGAGGAATATCATGGTGTTGGCTATGAAGAAGAATGTCAGCGACTTGGGCATGTTGCAACCCTTCAGGGCAATTGTGACCATGTAGGCCATGATGAGGACGAATTGGATCAACTGAATGCTGGTCATATACTTTTTCCACCACAGGTATTTCTGGTATTGGGGACCCATTGCGGCAACCATGTAGTAAAAGTACATAACAATGTGGACGCCGGAGTTTAGGATTCCTATGACAACACCTTGTTCACCTGCATGAAACACAAACTTAGTACATGGAAACGAATGGGATTGCAGCGCATTAATTATACTCACCGGGGGCATATTTCAGATACATCCACGAGAACAAAGCGGTGATGGTGTGATGATAGACGTGCAAGAACGTCACCTGATTCTGCTTTTTACGCAGCACAAAGAAAACGGTGTCCAACAAATCGATGATTTTCGAGAAAAAATAGAACCAAGCCCCCGAATATAGGGCGAGGCTTTGCTCGCGGGTTCGATGAATTTCACATTTTTTTGACATTAGTGTTTCAGCAATACGGCCTTCGCGGATCGACTGCAAAGCGAATGGAAACAGTTTCTTCTTAGCTAACGGCAAATGCAGTAGCTCATTAGGGTTACTTACCGTGCGACACATCCATATCGAATAGCACACCTGGAACGCGTTGTACACGATCATAATATTCTTCAGTTGGTATGGCTTACGGTTCTTCATGAACGTGGGTCCGATTTTCAGTACAAATAGCAAATACACCGCCACTATACTAAATACTGGGCCCGGAGAGCTCATCAGGAACCAGCGGTCAATGGTTTCGTCTGCAATGATTTCAATAGAATGTTTTAATTCCATACCTTTATTTGCATTCCGCACTTCGAACACACAGCAAATACATACCTACTCCCTTGGAGAGCGTAACATAGCGTTCGTTGAAATCCCGCATGTAGGTGGCCATTGTGTTTGTTACAAATTTCTAAAATGGAAACAAATGAAATGTGAGTGTGTAACATTGATTCATCTTCCTTCGAGCCTAATGTCGAATCACTGGTCTACTTCACAACTATATTAGATAGATGTACTTTTCGTGGAAGAAGTCAGCAGCAGAAGACTGTATCGATTGGATAGAGTAACACTAACATGGGCGTTCGTCTAAACTCACGTATAAGCCCAAATTCTTGGATAACAATGACATTAACAAACACACTTCGACATTAAATGTTCTGGCAAATACTTCTACCCCTCACCGTATTTAAGAAAAGAATGAAAACTACCAGAGACTGTGGCGTCTGGTATTCACACACACAGTTATATTATTTTTAAGCCACAAAACGATCTTGGATGTGGATATTTATACGCGAGTATGTCAGTCGGTGTGTCTATCGTTCTGCCTGATGTTCGCTAACCAAAATTTGTTTGCCATTCATTTTGAACTTTAAGAGATGTTTGAAGTTTTGAATGTGTGTTCACCATGACTTTAATACTCAGGCGATGATCTTAACAGAACACCAGTATAGGGCATAATTGAGCCATGTCTAAATTTGATTCAAGAGGCAACTACTGTTGGGACTGTGAGAAATGTCCATATCGAAAGCCTTTAAGATGTAATGGCTAGTTTAACCATGCCCAGCTAGGTGTATTAGACCCCAGACCGGTATCCGCTGTTCGTTTTCGGATGCGCATATTGACAAGAGTAGAGTGCATTGATGTTTAACATGTGAGAGCAAACCGTTTGTGCATTTCCAACTGAGGTGAATAGTTAACAACGAGTGTGAGCACGACAACCGAACGCCAGAACGAACACCTTGTCCACAAATCAAGATAGAAGATAGAAGTCAAGGTAGTCTTCTTGCACACACAGACAGACGTCAGTTGGAATTTTCTTGTTTAGTGTGAAACGCAGAATTGCAAGAGCATGGAAATGCACAAGTATGCCGGTACCCCAGTATCGATAATACATACTACATCTATAGCTCTGGTGTTTCCCGTGGGCAACTTACATGCCACATTTATTCTTTGGGAACTTTTTGAAGAACGGAAGCATCTTGTTCGTGTGTTTCCATAAATTTTTAAAACGGTTGATTTGTGTTTCTTCCATAGGCATATGACAGATTGTCTGTGTTTAGAGACGACTAGTATAACGGCTGGATTATTAGCCCATTGACAATCGAAACAAACCCCAAGTACCAATATCGTCAGTATGATAATGTGACGAATAAAAGCTTCGAGCTAAGCATGTATGTATGCGGAAGGCGAGCGGCGTGTATGAAATTAGCATAAATTTTTCATTCAAAAATGTTCGAATTCGATATTCCGATTATTTATACCAACGTAATTATAGTAAACAGTTCAGTGAACCCTGATCCACTATCTGTTAAATTGTAGGGCTGAAGTTGACGAGACAAAGAGTACGCTTAGACAAGATGTCGATACGAGTCGTCGTGCATTGTTTAAATTTCGCGACCATTTGAAATGGTAATGAATACCATTCCTCACCGGAAGTGTCAAAAATAAAACGGACAGGGCCAATAAAATGTATTTAAATTAACCACTATTCAATATTGATGGGCTCGGATGTAAACAAAACCGGTTTAATAGCTCGAACCATTAAATGCTCAATTTGATTTGAAAATACCAACGTTATATCTATTTTCTGTTTGAGGGACAACAACTTGATGTCAAATCGAAATATGATTTACTCTTTCTAATATAAATGAAGAAGATCTTCAGCATGTGATGTTCTTAACCAAGTAAATCGGCCATGACATACACAACTACATAAAATCAGTGTACCTATAGAAAATCCTACTCTCGAGACATTACGATATTAACTATTACTCCACAATATCTAATAATATCTAATTAACAATTCAAATCGACATCAATGCGGAGCTAATAGCCGCAAATTCACATCATTAGGTATTGTACTTTCAAATGAAGCACTATAAGAAATTTTAAACGTTCTTGATCTAAGAGAAGATAAATTAAGAATGGAAATCGCAGAGGGAAATAAGGAGGACGTAATGTATCAGTGGTAGGAGGTTAGTAATCGACGAATATACATTTTGTATTTCTGTTATTTTTTTAGATTTCCATTTGAATGTGACTATTGCTAATGGAACCCAACGACACGAGCGTATTATGCATTGCTTTCGAATTGAACCAGGCCACAATGTTAGCACTTCATGCCTCAGCCTGACAGTCAAATTACGTACCTTTACTGATATTCACGTCACATCACTAAATCCTATTGATCCCAACGACATCCGAAAACGACATTTTATTATTTAATGCCAGTTTACAGTATTCATAAATACCAGTTCAAAGTCTAATTAATTTTGCCAGTCAATGCAATATTTCAGGTATATAAATTTCGTTCTTAACGACTGGTGGTAACAATTTCAACAGTTTTTTGACTTCAGTGTCAACCTTGAAATTGGACCGGTTTTCAATTGGTCTGTACAAATCAAACAAATCTATTTATTAAAATTTAAGCCAAGCCATTATACGTTAGAAATGAATTATATACAGATCATCCTACCTTAATTAAAAGGGTTCGAAATGCGATCGGTAATAAACTACATCTCTGTTTAACATATTACTTCGGATTCGAATATGATCGGCTGTGACGACGAGGCAACATGGCGTCCATTAACGTGTAATAAATATTAATTCATTTGACCATTGCTCTCCCATAAATATATTATTAATTAGTATGTTGCCGATGGTGCTAATAATGCGCGTAAATATATACATAGGTAATTATGCGGAAGATAATTCGAATAGTTCCACCATTCAAATACTAGAACTTTGCATTGACAACAATGTGTTACGTACGTATCGACGTCCGACGAATTATTCATTGATATGGTATTCCGCACACGTTGATCGGTCAGCACATGCAGACCGAACAGACGGACGGTGTTTGCGAACACCACGTCCACATCCATATTCAGATGACGCGCTTTGTCAACACCGCAAATACCATGTAGACGACGTACAGTGGGCCACGACACTAGAGTCGATTCCCTATCAAGTATTCGACCATTAAATGTGCGTAATAACATTTAAGTGCAAACGGGAAATGCTTTTCGTTTACTAGTTTCTGTTAATATATAGAATCGATATACCGGAACTGGATATTGCCGACCTGACATTTGAGACATAGTCGATGTAACTAGTTTCCGATTTTCTTATGCTCAAAAGCAGATGTGCTTATTACTATGTTAACACAATGTATTTGCAGGGCATCATCTCAGATACTATACACAAAGGTAACGTTCAATGTGTAACAACGCAATCACGTATATTGCGTTACAACAGAATCAATGTGAAAGCTGAAAGTGCCATTAGCGGCTTTAAACGATTCAACTAGCGGTAAGAGCAGCTGCTAGTTGAGTCATTTAAAGACGTCTCATCCGTAGTTATCGCAGATCTAATGCCATCAAATGCATGAAGATGTTTGGTAGGCCGAACATAATGCGTAGCGTTCCTACGTGTGTTCCCGTTCCAGTAATTATTACGATTTACATTAAAAAAGACAACGATAATGGCTTGGCAGTGTCTTTGATGCCCACTTTGATGCATTTGGTCACACATTTCTCTTTGAAGCATTAGCCACAGTCGCGTTGATACAATGGCGTATGTGGCGGTCGTCAATCTCTAATCGATACACATTATATCCTACATAACACCCGATGTTTAACGATTTGTTGTTGGCCTATTTTGCACATCAAAGCCAGCCAGTCAGTCAGTCCGTCCTTTCTCGCAATGGCATCCACTTTTCCTGTTGCTTCTAAAAATCCCATTTATTTCATATCATTTCATTTGGCAAATACAATTTTAGTTCGATTCGACGTGTTCGGCATAGGTAATTTTGTCATATCGCCGCTGTCGCCTCTTGTTTAATTGTTTGCGCTAGTCTAACAAAGATACTTTTAGAACTCGATACTGACGCTTTTATCATAACAGAGCACATACTTAAGTATTCACGATTCGATCTTCGAGCAATACATAATGAAAGGTGTATTACATAAATGGATATTCCATTTACCAGCGACAAGTCTATATTCCTGAATGAAGCAATAACCAATACACCTGCAATACATTATAACTAAGCCAGGCATAGCTCCTCCATGCTGTGGAAGAAAGCGTCCATCGCATTTGATGTGACTGTTGCTTCGAATTGATTATCAAAACGAAATACCATAAAGAGCAGACCAATTTAGAAACGCACATACATATATGTATGTGCGCATATTTGTAACCTTAACATTTTTAGCACAAATGTGATTACAGCAATTGAATAAATAATTGTTTCCTAAATTAACAAATCAATTAATACAATTTAATGAAACGTGTGCTTCTAAGGGTCACTGTAAATGGGGCCGCCCATTACTAATGTACATCTCCACTATAATCCATAGTATTTCTCAGATCTATTGGCACAGGTCTTTGTAGTTATTGAACAACTAATGGGGTATCTAATTACCCAAATCGGAACAAATATTGCCCTGCCACATGAACACCTTCTTAACCACTCACAATCTGCAACCTGTCGAGTAAAACGACCATTCGGCCTTTGACAAAATTTCGCATTGTTTGAAATTGTGTTAAGCTAGAAGAAACTGACACTATGTGCCCTGTGTGATTCTCCAATTAAGACTTACTCAACTCCAAACAATTGAAGTGAGTTCTAGCATTCACGCCATCTGCGCTGTGCAGGTGTTTGGTAATTACAAGTTAACCATAAGTGTGTTGGTTATTAGCCATGAAACGAAAATGCCCAATTTTGCATTTATCTACAGATGTCAGATAGTCAATTGGCCTATGTCTTCAGGTTGTGTACATGACTCACGTCGGCGGAGCACATTTGGTTCGCTTCCCCTACAGATACGCATATTTTTGTTTGCTCGGATAATGCCTGAACTGCCGATACTGACTGGGTGTTGTGACCGCCCTT